TGTCTATATCTGTTTTCATGAGAAACCACTTTGAAGATATCAATATGTAATACAACAAGCATTGTTAATTCCCTGCCACTTTGTTTGTAACTCTGTATTGTCTGTACTGTTCTTTTGCTATTTTGTAAAATGTTATCTGTCTGTTAATGTTTTCCTCCTTTTATTTTTAAAATAAAAAAGAAAAACAAACAAACAAAAAAACCAAATCTAGTTCATATGGTTAAATGTGGCAAATTAATGATTACCTCAGTTTGTGATTTTCTAGGCTGTGTTTAATGCTATTGTTATTGCCAATTGTACCACTTTAGGCAAAGTGACACAATTGTTCTAACCAGGTATTTTTCCTTGTATTCCAAGATTGACATTACTTAAGGGTCATAGAAAATACTGAGGGACAGAACCAAAGAATCAGGGGCTGGGTCAAGCAGTCAGTAGATTCTCAACCCAACAAACTGAAGAGGTAGGATCTTGCAACAGACTCAAAACCCCAAAACCAGCTACATCTGGAAGACACCTCTGAGAAGTAGTCATTTCCTAAGGATTCTAAATATTAGCAATAAAGCAACTTACCATAGGCAATTTGCAAGCATCACCCCAGGAATTAAACAAAAAAAAAAATAAAAACAAAAACCAAGAGAAGAAAATGAGACAACACTTTAAAAAGACGCCACTCCAAACATTCAGTTTACCAAAGGCAAAATCAGGGTCTCTGAGGTGGTATAATGTGAAAGCTATCCACCTGGCTTCTCTGAAGTGGTAACAACAAGGCAAATTAATGACACTCTAGAAAAAATCAAGTCAGAAATAATTTCCCAGATAACTACAGAGATGATGACTACAATAAAAACCATACTTAGTCATTCTAGAGCAGATACAGGTAAAAAGAGGAGCCTAAGAAAATTATGGAAATCATGAATATCCAACATAGGAAAGAAATAGAATCCATAAAACAGATTCAAGTAGATATTCAGGAGAATAGAAATTCCATTGAAAGGATCTGCAGCAGAATGAGTTAATGTGAGGACAGAATCTCAGACATAGAAGACAAGCTTATGATTAGCAATCATGAAAAGAAAGATTTCTTAAAAATAGCAATGGAGCATGAGAAATCAATATAGCAGCTACTAGATGATGCAAAGAAGAATAACATAAGATTGATTGGAGTCAATGAAAAAGGAGGAGATAGCACAAATGATACGTTTAAAAAAAATGTTCACAAACATGGCAGAAAACTTCCCTGGCAGGGAAAAAGAATTTGACATACAGATAAGTGAGTCATATAGAACTCCAGTTAGCCACAATAAAAAAAAATCTACAGCCAGGCACACTATAGTCAAGATTCCAGAAATTCAATGTAAGAATAGACTCTTAAATTCTGTTGGGAAAAGAAACAAATGAGATCATATCAAATTAAAAGGCTTTTGCTGAACAAGGGAAAAAAACAACAGAGTGAAGAGAAAGAATGGGAAAATATTTCTGCCATCTAGTCTTCAGACAGAGGACTAGTATGTAAAACATATAAAGAATTCAAAGTTTAGGCTCCCTCTAATAAAAGACCCAATCAAAAATGGACAAGTGAAATGAACAAACACTTTTCAGAAGAAGTACAAATAGCCAATAAATACATAAAAAAATGTTCAACATCTCTGACATCTCGGAATATGTAAATTAAAACAACCCTGAGATTCCATCTTATTCCGGAAAGAATGGCTATCACCAAGAAATGAAGTAATAACAAATGTTGAGTAGGCTGCAGGGAAAAGGGAACCCTTGTACACTGTTGGTGGGAATGTAAGCTAGTACAACCAATATGGAAATCATTATGGAGATTCCTTAGAAAACTAAACCTGAAAATTCCATTCAATCCAGATATTTCCCATCTAGGTGTCTTCCTAAAAGTGTTAGACATCATATTACAGTGATATCTACATACCCATGTTTATTGCAGCATTGTGAGAGGATGAAGCAGGAGGATCACAATTTTGAGCCCAGCCTGGGCAGCATAGTGACTTAGTAAATCTCTGACTCAAAAAATACAAAAGGGCTGGGATTTCAGCTCTATGCAAAGGTCCTGGGTTCATGCACCAGTATCACAAAAAACAATCAAAAAAGAATTCTTTTCCTTTTTTTGAAAAAATTTTTGGGAAATTTTAAGGAGTACTAGCTGGGTGTGGTGGTGAATACCTGTAATCCCAGCACTCAGGAGGCTAAAGTAGGAGGGTCATTGCAAGTTTGAGACCAGCCTGGGCTGCAAAGTGAGCTCACAACTGCATAGCATAACCCTGTCTCAAAAAGACAAGAAAAAAGTTTAAAGAGTACTAGTAGTATTCTTGTATGATTTTTATCTTAGCATGGCACTTGGGGATGGTATTTGCAATTTTCATGCTATTTCTTCATTGGTAAGTGATGTGTTCAATTTTCTCTCTTCCCTATAATCAGTTTTTAGAATTTATGCCTTCCTAAAAGAACATGCATTTGGATTTAGATTTCCACATGTATATAGATGGTGTTGAATAAAGTAGTTCCTATGATTGCTTATTAGCTTCTGTAATTAGTTATTTCTCTTGTAATTTTTACTCTATGTATTTGGAAAATTAGTTGACTAAACAAGTGTGGCCCATACCTGTAATCCCAGTGCTCTAAGAGGCTGAGGCACTAGGATAATAATTTTAAGCCCAGCCTTTCCAATTGGTCTATTTTTTTTTTTTTTTTTTTTTTTTTTTTTTTTTTTTTTTTTTTTGCAGTTCTGGGGTTTGAACTCAGGACCTTGCGCTTGCCAGGCAGGCACTTATGCCACTGAGCTATATCCCCAGCCCTTTTTCCTGTGTTCTTGCCCATAATTGTTCAAAGCGTATTCTTGACTTGATGACTTGTAGATGGTATCTTTGCTGAATGTTTCATTTCCCTTCCAGTTTGGTTTCACAGCCATCTTTCTGTACTCAGTAGATAGTTTTAATGCATGTTTTAATAGGGCTTTACCTCGTCTGGGAAGAAATGTGTTGTTCACCTGTCTTCCATTAGACTGTGAGGCATGTAGAGACAAGTCCTTTTTGTCACTAAGGCTTGCCTGACACCAAGTAGGTCTTGCTTGCTGAATGAATGCTTTCAGTAGTTACATCTTGGTTTATATCTTTATATAAATGAATATATAATACATACTTTTTGTGTAAGGCCTAGGTAAAAGTTTAGGAGTTCATAAGTATTATGTTCATAAGTCTTAAGGAATCACTTGCATCATATATACTTTATTAGAATATTATATAGAACTTGGTATAATATACTCCAAAAGATTATCTTAGAAGAACAGCATAGAGGAATTGGTAATTAAGATTATAGATTAAAGGGTACATGTTTTAACCCATTCCTGTACATTAACATATTCATCTGAACTTTGTTTTTTAGGGATGGCTTACATGTAGCTGTGAAGATTGTAAAAAATGTAGGCCGTTATCGTGAGGCAGCTCGTTCAGAAATCCAAGTATTAGAGCATTTAAATAGTACAGATCCCCATAGTGTCTTGTGAGTATACATTTGAACCATGAGCCATCATATTACTTGAAATAGAGTGCTGTGAACTCAGTTATTATTTTGATCTCTTTTAGTCGATGTGTCCAGATGCTAGAATGGTTTGATCATCATGGTCATGTGTGTATTGTTTTTGAACTGCTGGGACTCAGTACCTATGACTTCATTAAGGAAAACAGCTTTCTGCCATTTCAAATTGATCACATCAGGCAGATGGCATATCAGATCTGCCAGTCAATAAATTGTAAGTATACATGATAAATCTTCATAAACACCAGAAATTTTTTTATTATATGAGCAACATCAAAACTTGTCAGTAAAAATACATAATACAGGCAAAGATGAAAGCCCTTTGAACCACCACATCCATTGCTAATCCCTTGTCACCCCTGCTGATACCAATTAAATGTATAAGTAAAATATGTCTCTTTCGTTCTCTTTGTAGTTTTGCACCATAATAAATTAACCCATACAGATCTGAAACCTGAAAATATTTTATTTGTGAAATCGGACTATGTAGTCAAATATAATTCTAAAATGGTAAGTTAAAGACTTATTTTAATTTTGGTGGTTGTCCTTAAAATTAATTTGCTTGGCGATCTTTGAGGGATTTTACATCCGAACCTCATTATATCCTGATGTTTAACCACAAAAGAACCAGGGCTCGGGGTTAGCTCAGTGGTAGAGCACTTGCCCAGCATGTTCAAGGGCCTGGCTTCAGTCCTTAGCACTGCAAAAAAAAAAGAAAAAATTCCCAGTAAGCTTTTTTAAATAGTGCTTTGGAATATTTTATGCTGTTAGTGAGTTTCATGTATATTCAATTGTTCTTCTCTAGAAACGTGATGAACGCACACTGAAAAACACAGACATCAAAGTTGTTGACTTCGGAAGTGCAACATATGATGATGAACATCATAGTACTTTGGTGTCCACAAGGCACTACAGAGCCCCAGAGGTTATTTTGGGTCAGTAGACACTAGACTACTTATACTGTAACTGAAGGTGAAGTTTTTGTTGCTTACAGCTTTTATTGGGGTGGAGAAGGGCATGACTAGAATGACTTTTCTTAGTGGAATACAAAAGAAATTTTCTGTTTTCATAAAAAATGTGTGAACATTAATACAAGTATTTTTCCTAGCTGCTAAAAATGTGATCCCATTTGTGATACTACTAGATAACCCAAGTTAATCTTAAGTGATATAAAAGAATAGGTTCTGTTAGCTAAGTGCATTATAGCATTGTGGTTTCAAAGTTTTGTAGGTACCCATTTTCATACTGTCAGAAAAGTATGATTCTGGTAAAAATGCTAAGTGTTTGATTGGCAGACTCTTGATTCAGAGTAGATAAAGATCAAGAGGATTAGAAAGAAGGTCCTGTTAAGAGGAAAGTCTGTAATACTCATTGATAGAAAGACTGGAAAAGAAAATGAGTTAAGGTGCAGTTTTGAAATAGGAACTCAGGGAGCACTTATAACTTAAAATTTAAAAGTTAGAGATCAGGTCATACATCAAAGATGGGATGGAGGCTTGGAGACAGTGGGAGAAGTTCATATCAGGTGCTAATAGAGGTAGTTCAGAATTGGAGAGTTTCAGAAGTGACTTGTCCAAGAATGGGGTAATGTGCTGCAAAAGGTTATAGTCGCCTGGTGGAAACCAATACAGTATTAAGAAAATGGGCATGGTTTAAGAAGAAAGCTTTTTATCTGAGGTCTAGGTTCTAGTGTTTGTAGGTTCTGCATGTGTTGACCACAAGTTGACACCATAATATATCATCCATGTATTCAAATGATGGACACTGGGGGGGGGGTGTCAGCAAAAATGACTGGGGCACAGTTAAGGCCTTTGAATATATTGCTTCTCCTTTTTCTTTTAACTCCAGTAATGTTACAGAAAGTAAATGAAAATCTTTTAAAGAAGGTTGTATTTGTATTACTGATTTACTAAATATTTGATCTTTAAAAGGTTAAAATGTCTATAGGATTTGTTCTTTTCAATGGAATATAGGCTTAAGAAAGTTAGTATATTGTCCATTACTGAGTAGTACTGCCATTGAAAATTGTGAAGGAGAAAGTACATATAATCATGTATATACAGCCTGAAGTGTGTGTTTGTGTATTTCCCTGTCTGTGGATTTAAGTATCTCTAATTTCTTTATCTAGCTTATAAAATAGTATTTTTAAATGGAAGAAGTAAACTCATTTGTCAAGTTGGTTATAATTGATAAAGGCTAAGTAATTATGTTTTGAGATAATTATAGGACCTGTTAGTTGTACTAATGTAGATATGTCTGCATGCACCATGAATGAAGTATAATAGTTGTAGTAGTAGTGTTGCCCATCATATGAAGACAGATTATGGGATAGTAGTTGGAAAATGCTAGTCCTTCTTACTGTATATAAAATGCCCCTTAGGGCTGGGGATTTAGCTCAGCAGCACAGCGCCTGCCTGGCAAGTGCAAGGTTGTGAGTTCAATTCCCAGTACTGGAAACCCACCCTCCACCCCCGCAAAAAAAACAATGCCCCTTTCCAGTTTGGTTTTTTTTTTTTTTTGTCTTTTTGAGACAGGAGTTTGATATGAAATTCAGGCTGGCCTTCAACTCACTTTGTAGTCCAGGCTGGTCTTGAACTCGCAGTGATCCTCCTGCCTCAGCCTCCCGAGTGCTGGGATTACAGGCGTGCGCCACCATGCCCGGCAGAAATACACATTTGCTTTTTTGTTTTGTTGTGTGTTTTTTGTTCCATCCCCACCCCAACCACGGTACCAGGAATTGAACTTGCAGTCTCACACTTACCAGGCAGGCGCTGTGCTGCTGAGCTAAATCCCCAGCCCTCCCCTTTCCAGTTTAAAATACTTTATTTTCATATAAGCAGATGCATCATACTGTGTGATCTATTCTGAGAGTAAACCAGGAATTTATTGTGTTCTCCAAATAGACTGTAAAGAACACACCCATAATAGGGAAGGATTTAGTGGATTTGCATTTAAAAGTTGATACATAGTAAGGTGTTTATGTTTGTTTTAAATAGCTTTAGGTTGGTCTCAGCCTTGTGATGTTTGGAGCATAGGTTGTATCCTTATTGAATATTACCTTGGATTTACAGTCTTTCAGGTATGTATTAGTAATTTTTATTTAATAATTCACGATCAATTCTAAGTGTTAAAGGCATGTTAAAATTTTAGCTTCCATATATCGTTATTTTTGAGATTAAAACATACGCAAATTGTTACCTTCTGTAAAAGCACAATTAGACGAAATTCACTGTTAATGAATGCTCATAGCTCCCTTTGCATGTAATTGGCATCTCAAATACAAGGTTCTTCTGTAGCTCATAATGTCTCCTGTTCCCTTTTAAGTGGCAGAGCTCTGTATATTTGCATTGGTGTTGACATAGCTAGTTTTAATTCATCTCTAGTTGTGTTGAATATCCTATTCTTTTTTTTTTTTTTTGTAAAAAAATTCAGGAAAACAGCTACTTTAAGAATTAAGCATCTATAATTTCTTGGGTATTTCTAAGTTCTAAGTACATAGCATCTCTGTCCTCAAGGAAGTCATGCAAAAGACAAGGAACAGTGGAACAGTGTAAAAAGTGTAGGGGGACCCAGGAGTTGAAGCTAGTCAGAAACCTAAGCATACAAAGGGAAAAGTATCTGAATGCAGAAGAGTAGTCAGGAAACATCACACTGTCAGAGTATCTTGTGTAAAATGGAAAGATGATGGCAGCAGGTGAAGACTTCTGTATACTTTGAAAGGTACTTGTTTTATCTTTGAAGAAAAATGGTTTCCAGGGGCTGGGGATTTATTTAGTTCATCGGCACAGCGCCTGCCTGGCAAGCGCAAGGTTGTTAGTTCAATTCCTGGTACCAGAAGAGGGAAAAAAAAACAAAACAGAAAAATGGTTTCCAAATGTAGACTGGCCCAAAATAAAAACAGTTTTGTAGAGTTACCATTCTAGTCTTTATTTAGAGATTATCCCTCCTACTATTAAAGTATCCCATTTATTAAATGACGGTGGTGGTAGTTGGTAGTTGAATTTTTCAAGTAGAAGTTTTTAATTGGCAAAACAAAAATAAAAGACCCTATTTTGGTTTCCTTTTTTTCCCTGATGATTTTACTTACATCTAAAGGTCTTGAAACCTTTGGTATGCAACTACTGAAGAATAAATGTAGTTGTGCAATCAAGGTGCTCCGTTGTTAAGTTTTGCTTGGTTTGTGGAGATCCCAGCTCAGTACTGTTAAGGTTGACTGAAAGTTACAGCAATGCAGGGACGGAGAAGCAGAGCTAAGAGTCACTTAGGTGGCTATAACACAAGTACAAGTTCACTATGGGCCCCTCACTAGGCTTCTGTTTGTGTCTGATTTGTAGAAATCCTGTTGAAAGTACTCTTGGGTGGGTAGACAGGTTCAGTGTCTGGAACCATGGTTATCCACCAGTTGTGGCAGGTAGCTGGTTTTATAGTAGTGAGTTGGCAAACTGGCCCGTGGTGAGGTTTTGTCTGGTGCCTGTTTTTAAAAAGGGTCAGAGAATGGAAATGTAGTAGGTCACTTGCCTAGTATGTGCAAGGGCCTGGGTTTGACCCCCAACCCTGCAAAAAATAAAATAAAAATTATAGATATAAATAAAACTGACCACTTTGTGAGCAGCCAAGTCAGATGTTTACTGTTTGGCTCTGTCCTGAAAGTTTGCCAGCCTCAGCTCTAGAAGCCTACCATTCATTTCAGCTGTATTTTAGCAGTTTTCTTCTATTCTGTTCTAGCTAAAGCTGCATTACTGCTGCATTATGAATATGAACTTTGATTTGGGGTTATGACTGAAGTTTCCTCATTCGTGAGCTATGTGACTAGCAGCTAGTGTGTTAGCATCTTTAAACTCATTCCCACACACGTAGCTCAGTACCGTTGTGAGGATATTGGCAGTGTATTTTCATTGCCTGGGATATATGTGGTAATAAGTGCACTGTTTGTTGGGTAGATGATCACTTTGATTAAGCAGCTGATTAAATGAAAAAGCAGCAGTTTGCTGGTAATCTCCAACTATTCCTTAGTACAGGAAGGACAAAAAAAGAAGGAAGTTTGTTCTGTTTTACATTGAACAGGTTACATGTTGATTGCTGTCAGATCTTACTAACCCATCTCAGAGACTTTAGTTTTACTGTGTTTGCACCAGACAGCACAGCTTGTTCAATTTTGTTCCTTTGTGGAATTGTGTTTACAATTTGTGTAGTGTAAATCCTGTAGCTGGCCAGTCTAGTCCTATATCAACACAGTATTGTATTCTCATGTTTTCTTTTAATATACATGTAGGCAATAATTGTCCGAATTCCTTATTTCTACTTTTATTAGACTCATGATAGTAAAGAGCACCTGGCAATGATGGAACGAATACTAGGACCCATCCCAACACACATGATTCAGAAAACAAGGTCTGTGTTAAGATTTAAGTCTTTTGTTGGGTACATGCAGTCTCTCTCCAAACTATAGAAGACCTAAAATTGTCCATAATTTTTATTCTAAGGACTGTGGGTTATTTTTTTGGTTTCCTGTACTGATGACACCATAATACATTCTACCCTTTAAAGTCGTGTTTCCAAAATACAGTTCAGTATTTACGTTATGATCTTAATAATGAAATGGTATGGGGCTTTTTATACTTAGGTTAAACTTTGCGTAAATGTTTTCCCATGTTGATGTAAAAGTAGCACTTGAGACTGTGAAAAAGCTTATCTTTTTGGAGTCCTAGCAGTCTAAATTGAAATTTCCTGCTAACTATATGTCCTTGGACAAGATACTACAGTGGTTCTAAACACAGCTTCACCAGAGCAGTCACGTAGGGGGTTAAAGATTTCTATCCCCATTCCAGATCTAAAGAAATCAGAAGTCGTAGGAATGGATTCACGAGTCTCTGTTTTAAAGCTGGCGTTGTTCCGTGTATAGTATTTAGGGAAGAACTTAGTTGGGGTGTTAAATCTAAGGGGGTTGAAGGTAAAGCAAGATACTATATAAGGTGTCATATGTAATGTTTGGGTTTTTTTTAAAATTATAAGCAGGTGTATGTCTGTCCACCTAGAGAGATGCTGTACTTACGTTTGTCCCCCATCCCATTTGGGGCCAGGTAAAGATGTGAGTCTTCCGTTACTTACTAATCCAGACTTCTTTTTCCTTGTAGGAAACGCAAGTATTTTCACCATAACCAGCTAGATTGGGATGAACATAGTTCTGCTGGTAGATACGTTAGGAGACGTTGCAAACCACTAAAGGTAAAAGGGAAAAGTGTTAACGTTAAAAAAAATAACATTTACACTATTACTAAATCTTTTTTAATGAGAATATTTTCCCCCTAGGAGTTTATGCTCAGTCATGATGAAGAACATGAGAAGCTATTTGACCTGGTTCGAAGAATGTTAGAATATGATCCAACTAAAAGAATTACCTTGGATGAAGCATTACAGCATCCTTTCTTTGACTTATTAAAAAAGAAATGAAAGTGGTCTTACTATATGCTTCTCTAGAAGAGATTTCTTTAAGACTGTGTCAGTCAACTAAACATTCTAATATTTTTGTAAACATTAAATTATTTTGTACAGTTAAGTGTAAATACTGTATGTTTTATATAGGTAGCATAATTGCCTTGTTAAGCAAGTATGGTCTTGATAATGAATGAAATATAAACGTTAAAAATAATATGTTTTCTTTTTGAGATTGCCATTTTTAAAGGCCTTTGGAATATCTTTGTGTGTCCAGTGATAAATGTGATTGATCTTGTCTTTTGTACATGGAGGTCAACTTTGGAGTGATTTTTTTTTTTTTTTTTTTGAGTAAAAGGAAATCCTGACTACTATATATTCTTAAGTGAATATTCTTTAAATACCTCAAAATTAGAGCTTTTATTTCTGTGCTTGTAACTCTAGGCAGACAGATACTAGAAACCAAAACTGATATAAAATAATTCCTGTTAGAGTTCTTTTGAACCCTAACTTTTGTGTTCTGTTTTACTTGGGTGATGTCAGTGGGGATAAGTAAGTGTTCATGCAAAGGCGTCTAGTTTGTTCATTAGGACAGGTTGTTTAATAAAGCCATGTACACTCTTCATTTAACATTAACTTCTAGTTGGAAAGTCATCTTGGAAAATCGTATTTTCCCAGGGTGATTTGATGAATCAGACATAAAAATAGGAATGCTGATAACAGGTTTTAATTTTTTGCTTGTTTGGTTTTGTGGTGCTAGGGGTCAAACCCAGGGTCTCATGCAAGTGATCTAGCACTGACCTACACCTTTAGCCTTTTAGGTTTTAGTTTTTAATTGCAGCTCCTGAGGAGTCTTCATATTGCCTAATATGTGTCCTTAACAAATACTCAACCCCAGTTTGTGAGAATTAAGGCTGTTATGAAGCAACGTATGCTTACAGTAATTCCTTTTTTTAAATTTCCAGAATTTGTTTGGTTAACAGAAGTTTTGCTTATATGTATTTTTCCTAGTTTACCTATTTTCCCATTGAAAACTGCGTGGCAAATACTAATTTAGTAAAAAACGTTAGTCTGTAAGGTAGACTTTTTCATTACAGAATTCATAATCAGATGCTAGTTTTTTTATGCTAGATATTTTGAAAATATCCCCACTTCATAAGGGGATTTCAGATAGCTTTGAGTTTTTCTGTGTACTTTAAATAGAAAATGCATGAAATTCTTTTATGTGATCCTAGTGAAGCCATACTAGGTTTTCTGTCTTATCCAAAGGCAGCACTTGCCAGTACAGTAAGGCTGTGTTCCAAAAGTTGGCTTGAAATTTAAAGCTGAAACAAATTTACCGTAGAATCACTGCATAATTCGCATTTAGCCTTCTGATGCAGTCCATACAGAGTGAACGTGCTCTTGAGATGAACTGTATTTCATGTGGTAATGTTTCTTAAAGGAGCATTTGGTATCTTTTAAAGTTGTTCTTCCCTGAAACTGTTAAATATGGTGAATATTAAATTTTTTAAAAAAGTATTACAGTGAACGATACATTACCGTTAATCTCCCTCAAGATGATCCCTGCAAATGCTTACCGTCTTGCCACTTTTGTCAAGCAGTTCTGAAAGTCCTTTTTCATGAATGTCTTTAGTTGGGTTGTCATGACTGCCTTGATGTCCTGAACTGATTGAAAATGTTTACTTTTCCTGATCATTGTGACTTTGGGGAAGAGCCAGAAGGCACACAATGCTAGATCTGGTGAATAAGGTGAGTGAGGACACACTGATGGTTTTACAAGCCTGTCTTTCTGTTGGATGGTACTTGGCAAAGCATTCCCTTGTTTGGACTGCACCCTGTAAATACGCTCAGAAGAGCGGACTTGCAGAACTGCTTCAGAAGTGGCAAGAAGGGTGAGATACAAGCGTCATGGGGGGGCAGTATTTAGAGTGATACATGGCAGTGAGTGTTTTACTGTGATAATTTTTTAAAAATTTAAACTTTGATGGTATATTTCTATCACACCTTGTACAGATTAAGATGTTTGCCATATTTTATTTTCCACTCCATTTCCATTTCATCCTTGCATTGCTACTTACCCAGGCTTCCTCTTGTTTCCCTGCATGGGTTTCAGGTTTCCACATGTGTGTTAACTTTGCACCGCAAACTCATTCTCTCAGGAGCTGAACTCAAAATACAGGAGAGGAAAATATTCACATTATTTGTTACTAAGAAGTTAATGGTTATTTACGTCCTTTCTCTTCTGAGAATGACTTACATTATTAACCAACAGTATTTGTAATCCCTAGACTTACAGAATTGTAAGAATTAATGTGAAATTTTAAAAATTAGGACCGTTTTTTGAGGTAGGGTTCTAGCACATTGCCCAGATGGCCTTAAACGCTTGATCCTGCTGCCTTAACCTCCCAAGGAGGTGGGGTTGCAGGGCAGGCGTTTCAGGGCATCCTTTAAAGTTTCTACTTTTCGTTGCCTTTTACCTTATGCTTCAGAACTCGTTTTTTGAAGCTTCAGGGTTGTTTCTTTGTGTTGCCTGTTTGTTTTTACAGTGCTTGGCGTATCTAACTGTGTAAATATAGATCATTTTAAATTTAGGTATTTTTCTTAATAATATGACATATAGCTTCTAGAAATTCTGTCAAAGTTGAGCTTAAGTTTTCTTGAGACATTTATGGAAGTACAGGTGAATAGATAGTTTTTAGTTTTCTGTTGCTGCTATTTGAGGTTTTTCATTAATTTGTACATTCCTCAGAATTTTCAAAGTAGATGAATTGATTGCTGTTAGTAAAGCTAGCAATAGGAGGCAAACCACCCTGTGAAATTTTGTAGTTGATAGTAGAGTAATCCTGAAGAGCTAGATACCAGAGAAATTGGAAATGACATGGTCAGGTCTTCTAATAATTACAACAAAACTGTGACTAAACTTTTGTTTGCTGTCTTCAAGCATTATGTGAAGAAATAATATGCCAGATCAAAAACATCAGTTTGATTCTTACAGTTCTGTGTAAAGACTTGGAATGAAATGGAGAGTAGAAAGTTGTATTACTTTGATTATATTACTTGATGTGTTACATTTAAAACAGTTTTTAGTGTATGTTTGTGCTACATAATATATTTGTTGTGTGGTATTGGTACATACACATACTCTTATCTTGATCCTTCCTCTTTCCCTTCTCTCATTTCTCCCTATCCCTAGGTCCTTTCCTATGTCCACAGAGTCTGTCTCCTTGTTTTCTAACATCTTTCGTCTTGCTTTAAATTATATTTTGAATTTCTCATAAATCATTTTGATATTTACCTTCTATGTCTAATACATTTCACTTAGCATTACAAAGTACAGTCATTTTCCCACAAATGACTCAAAATTTATACTTTATGACTATATTTCATAGTGTATATGTACTAAATTTTCTTTATCCATTCATCTGTTGATGGGCATACAGACTCTTCCATGATTTAGCAATAGTGAAGTGTGCTGCTTCAGGGTATACATGTATCACTGTAATGTGTCTTAACTTTTTGAGAAGATACTTGGAAGTATATCTGCATCAAATGTAAATTCTATTTTTAGGTTTTTAAGGAATCTCCACACTGATTTCCATAATGGTTGTACTAGTTCACATTCCCATCAGTAATGTAGAAGCGTCCTTTTTTTCCACAACGTCACCAGCATTTGTTTTTGGGTGTTTTGTGTGAGTTCTTGATAGCCATTTGTAAGTAAGGAGGAATTTCAGTGTTGTTTTAATTTCCATTATGTCCAAAGATGCGGAGCATTTTTTTTGTACCTGCCATTTGTACATCTGAGAAGTGCCTATCATTCCAGCCCATTTTTTGATATGTTTTATTGTGGGAGGGTGTCTAGTTTTTTGTTTTAGTTCTTTATTCTAGATATTAGTCCTGAGGAATAGCTGGCAAAATCTTTCCAATTTTTGTAGGCTGTCTCTTCACTCTGTTTCCTTTGCTGTGTAGCCTGTTTATATAATCCTGTGTTGCTGGTATTTTTGTGTAATTGGAATTCTGTTGAGAAAGTCCTTACTATGCCCATATCTTTAAGAATTTTACCTGTCTTCCAGCAGACTTTCTGTTTTTATCTCTAGTTCTTTGATCTATGTTTTAGTACAGAATGAGCGGTAATGGGTCTGTATTCATTCTTCTGCATGCGTATACCCAGTTTTCCCAGCATCATTTGTTAAAGAGGCTATGTTTTTGGTCTTTTGTTGAAATGAGATGGCTGAGTGTGTCTGAGGTTGTTCTGTTCTGTTCTCTTAATCCTGTTTTTGTGCCAGTGCCATGCTGTCTTTAACACTGTAGTGTTGGAGCATAATTTGAGTGATACCTCTTTGCTCTTGTTGCTCAGGCTTGCTTTTGGTAGTCTGCCTCTCCTTTGATTCTGTATAACTTTAGAAGTGTTTTTTCAAGTTCTATGAGGAGTGCTATTGTTATTTTGATTGGGATTGCATTAAATATGTATCATTTTTCATAACTGGCTATTTTGACAATGCTATATTGCGTTTGCCTATCCAGGAACAGGGAATGTCTTTCCATTTTTCCAGTGTACTCTTCAGTCTCTCTCTTTTAAAGAGTTACAGTTCTCATTTTGCTGCTAAGCTATATCCCTGGCCCAGAGTTACAGTTTTCGTTATTGAGATGTTTCCCTACCTTACCTTCCTAGGTATTTTCTTAAGCTATTGTCAATATTATTTTCTTTTTGTTTTTTTTTTTTTGTTTTGTTTTGAGACAAGGTCTTGCTGTGTAGCCTAGGCTGACCTTGAACTCACTCCTGTAGCTCAGGCTGGCCTCAAACTCATGGTGATCCTCCTGCCTCAGCCTCCTGAGTGCTGAGATTACAGCCTTGCATCCCCGCTCTCAGCATTTGGCTCATTTCTTAATGGCAATTCATTGTGTACAGAAATGCTATTGATTTTTGTGTTTCCTGTTACTTTGCTAACTTTATTAGTTCTAGGAGTCTTGGTGGCATTTTTGGATCTTTATAAAGTTTCATGTCAAATTTGAATAGGGTAGTTTTCTCTCATACATATATATCCTTTTTATTTTCCCTGATTGCTGTGGCTAAAGTACTGTATTAAACGGGGATGGTGAGTGGTCACTCCTGTTGATTTTAGAGGGAAAGCTTTGTGTTTTTCCTCTTTAGTGTATAATGTTTGGGTTTGTCATGTATGGCTTTTATCACTGTGAGGTAAGGTCCTCCTGTCCCATTCACCCCCAGGATAAAGCCACCTTGGTCGTGCTGATGATCTTATTAATGATGTGTTGCATTCTGTTTGCCAGTATCTTGTTGAAAAATTTGACACCTGTATTCATTAGGGAGATTGGGCTTATAGTATTTTTTTCCTTTAAGTCCTTGTCTGGTTTTAG